TATATAAAAATATATATATATATGGATAAACTTTTAATTACTAATGAGTAAATGTTTTCATTACGCTTCACTCTCTTACTTTTACACCAATCCTCACCATAATTTAAATGATGATATATTACTGTACGTAACAGGTTGTATGCATTGCCTGGCTCAATATTTAAATGACGACACATGATTTTGGGGGTGGGGGGGCAAAGCAAGGAAGAATTACAAAGAGCCTGAAGCTAATGAATCTTCAGCTACTGACGAAATCCAGATTCTCTAATTTTGATCAGACTTGTTGTGTCCTGTCGTGACTAAGTGGCTGTTTGTTTCAACCGTTCTCCTTCTCTTTTAGTTACTTTTTGTTCCTTTTTCTTTCCATTTATCTTCTAAGCCCCAAGTGGGGAAAAAGTGATCATAATAACACAGCTATCCTGTTTGCTACTGTTACCTTGCTCAGTTGCCTGGTATGTCCGTATTCCTACATTCAGATCTGTCTTGAGTGTTTGGTCTGTGTCGTCTTTCACTTACCAAGCGACCGTGATGGTCAGTAGTATATGCCGCAGCTTCATGCTGTCATGCTGCCTTCAGTGGCAGCCCCCGAGCGCCAGTATTCCTTAATCCCTCCCGTGGCACTGTGTTTTCTTCCCAGCCCAGGCTGTCTAATGTTGTCCTGTGTCTCACACCTCTTTACCTTGCAGCACAGGGCTCTTTCAGTCCCCTGCTCCTTGAGGCACTGGCAGCACCTCTACATCATCCTCAGGTGCTCCTCAAGACTTCTGCTGCAGCAGTAGGAAGTCAGAAAGAGCAGTGAGAGTTGCAATGGGAAAATATGTGGACCCAAAGAAGCAAGACAAAGAGATAACGGTGTTAGGAAGAAGAGAAAGGAGGTATGAGGCTGGATGGGGCATGAGTATGTGTTCCTCTTTCTTTTTGAAGCATCTTTCTCAGTTGGTCTTCATGCGCTCTCATGGTAAACCTGAACTGTGTGAGTCATTGACTTAGAGCAGTCAGTCTCTGAATCATGTGAAAGCCCGGCAGAAACAAGAAAGCTGGGAGCTGCAACTCAAGATGTGTGGGCTCTGTCCCTGCCCACTCAACAATGAGTGCTGCAGTACACAACCTGAAGTAGTGGAAGTGTAGTGCGTAGATTGTAATCTTTAGATTACTCATGCTTGTTTATGGGTAATCTTTACTATCCGTCTACTCGGGTAACATTTGGTTCTTGCTCATCTAGGCAGGGTTTAAACTCCATTGGGCAAGAGCTTCCCATCTTTGCAGTCTGTGGCATTGTGCCATTTACTACTTAACGGTAATGTAAAAAGCGTGAGAATAAATTCTTAATGGGCATGGCTATAACATGGGACAGAAAGGAAGTATAGTAAGCATGAGGCAATTATGGAGGGGTGCTGTTGGATCAGATAAGAGTGGGAATTATGGGGAGAAGTCCTCTGTTTCAGCTTGCTTTAAGATAGATTGTTACAGTGCTTGCACAACTTTTTTGGCCCATGGCCTTTCCTGGCCTTCGTCAGGTTGCTACTCTAGGAGGGCAAATAGCGGCAGAGCAACTTGTGCATTTGTTATCCCTGAAAACAAGTAAACAGGGAGGAGACGCAAAGGGCTGTGAAGTGGGAAGAGCATTGGTTTTGTTCTTCCCACAACCCTTAACCACAGGAATTGGTAAGAACAGTATTGCCAGATCAGTGAGGTGGTGTGTTTCTGAAGCATAGAGAACATTTCTGCATGATATTAAGTAGGACTCCTTGTGATGCATACTACCTGGCTCTTGTTCTTTCCAAAGTGTTTCCAAGCACTTGCTGGAAGAGGGGAGTATAGGTGAGGGTGTGTGTGCATATGTTTCTTGGATGGATAAGCTGAGGATAGCCAATTTTGGAGTATGTGAGTGAACAACCAAGATGCATGGAGTTCTTGCTGATGTTTAATAAGCCTGTGTAGGCAAGTGCAATGCTAAAGAGACTGCATGAGTGGAAAGCTGAATGTTTCTATTTGATCCAAATGTTTCTACAGAGCAACAAGATTTCCAGAAAAGTCAGACTACAGAAACGTTTTAAAAGGGAGGCAAACAAATAGGGAGAATCTTCAATGAAAGTAAGTCATGTCTTAGGCAGGAAAAATAGTATATTTTTCTAACATGGAGGGAAAG